TATCCATTTATATTTGTTCTTCATTTTTTTGACACCATTTAGTTTTTTTTGACACAAAATAGCGACCTGACCGCTATCTCTGGAACGGGTGGACCGATTTGGACGGGACTTTGACTAGAAGATAGCTGGTAGAAGGTAGATGCACGCGAGAATGTGATAGATTACTTTTTTTAATCCGCGCTAACGAAACAAGCGAAGTCGCGAGCAACAGCTAGTATTTTATATTTCAGTGGCATGTTTCTTACTATCGTAATGAACCTTAACTGGGTATTTTTTTACATGTGATGCTGTATTTTATAACTCACCCTCGGCTTAGCCATATCCTTGATATGTTCTATTTCCTCATCACTCAGGACTTGGTGGAACACGACAATATCTGGAGAGAGATACATTTGCTCCATTTTTATTGGCGCCAGCTTCAAGAACGGATGGTTCTCCGTCAGGTATCTGCATTTCAATCTGAAAGGTAAAAAGGTGTTAGGGGAAATATAGAACCGTTTTTTAAATGCGCTTAAATTAAATGGCGTGAAATTAAATAATCATTGCGTGACGTAATTGGTGTATTTATTAAAAAAAATCGAAAATATGCTTTGACTGGTGTCACCTGTATAACAAGATATATGTTTATTACGGTTTATTATATTAGTGGTTTTACAAAATTAATATAATTGTAACAACGTATCTAACTTAAACACTGAGGCCACTGCCTCCGATTAAAATGGCGCGCTATTCTATGACTGAAAGACATTGACAGATGTCAAATAGTGACGGGATGAGTGTATGAGAATAATTTAGTGTTGTGCCAATTTTCCAGCGTATTGTTTGTCTAAATTAGATTAGTTTTATAAATAATGCATATGAAGTATCAAATTTGATTTGTATGAATGCAAATGCCGTACTTAATAGACAGGTATCGTAGTGATGAAACAAACACGCAAAGTAAACAATTATGAACTATCGATATTCGGCTGAAATAAAATTTATCGAACTTAACTAAAATTATTATTTTCTTATTAACTTACTTAGATTGAATTTAGAGGACAATTCTAGTATTGATTATAGTATACAGAATATAGAGATGACAATAATAATAGCGAAATCCTGTTCGATTACGTACGGCTGTAGTAGCAATAAACATTTATTTACTCTTTTTATTTGTAATGGTTCATTTGAGAAAACAGTGTATTTTTTATTCATAAGTTATAACTATGAATCTATCGATTCCAACTTCAATAAGAATAAAAATCGAAAAGAGTCATGTCTGATTTTAGACAACCCATCCCTACTAAATTATCGAATTAACTGTCAAACAAATCAATTTTATTTAGACAAACTATAGTATTGGTTTTCATCTTAACAGTACGTACAGAAATAGATTATTTAGTTACCTTCGGCTTATTTCGCTAGGTATTTCCATTTCTCCCCTGCACAGAGCCTCGTATACTTTCCGCTCCTTGCTGAGGTACGACATCGGCTGCGAATCTTCTTCGTCATCTTCTCCGGTGTCCTGCAATATACAGATATCTTCATATTAAAGTTAAATCGGAAGGAAAACAGTGAGACTGGACCTGCCAATATTTACTACTTCTTAGAGTAATATATTTTTTAAATTGTGATGTTCATATTTGTTTCTTTTTGACCGACTTCCCAAAAGAAGGAGGTACTCAATTCGTCTGTATGTTTTTTTTTGTTAGACAGTTTGCCAACCACTGGGCTCAAAGAATTAAAAAATATTTGACACTTCACTAAAAAGATTTTCACATAATAATCAATAGCGCTCCCTGATGTCCGATAGACAAAATCACAAACAAAAAAATAATTGTAACACTGAGAAGCGTGTCGACATGTCTTTGACATTGAAATATTACCATATAAAGAAGTTACATTATATTTCTTATGTCTCGTATACATCTATACTAATATTATAAAGAGGAAAGATTTGTATTTGAAATAACTCAAAAACTACTGGGCAGATTTTGATAATTATTTCACAATTAGAAAGGTAATTTATCTGTTAGTAACATAGACTATGTTTTGATTATTTTTTTAATTTAACACGGGCAAAGTCGCGAGCAACAGCTAGCATAATACATATTGACTAGACATAGGGTACAACATTTTTTCATCGGTAACTTTGTACGGTAACATTTTCATATAAAATTTGACACATCGAGACGCTTTTCAGTGTTTGAATTATTTATTTGTTTGTGATTTTGAGTAGTCCTTGAATGTCTTTGCTGGGATAAAGTAAGTGTGAACTGACCCCCCTGCGCCGGCGCTTCATGCGGGCGTCTGCCTCCGCGATGGTCTTCTGGAAGTGCGGCACGTTGCCGCGCGCGCGCGGGTGCTGCGGCTCCAGCGCCAGCAGCTTCCTGGTCCACTGCAGCGCGTGTTGCACCTCGCCTACAAGACACATAAAATAAACAATATTTTGTGGAAGTTGTGCCAGTGTACACAGGGTTAATAACAAACACAGACAGTGTGCACTAAAATGAGGAAAGACAAAAACAAAAGGAATTATGCATCTATCTACTCGTATCTATACTAAAACAATAAAGCGTAAACAAAAAAAAAACACATCTTTGTTATGTAAAATGTCAGAAATCACGACATGTTTTAAAATAATCATTTCTGGCACGCTATAGCGTGTACATTTTCATGCTATTTAATTTAGGAAGTGAATAAATTGGAAAAAAATCATGAAATGCGAAATCATACGGATGAAGTCGCACGGGAAGTATAGTATGCATTAAGATGAGCGATGACAAACCACAAAAGGAATAATATTATTCGCAAGTAAAAATTGTCGAAACCTATACGAACAAGCACTTACCCAATAAATAATGTGAGAAGCTAATATACTCTAGTATGTCGACTTCTGTGAAGTCGTAAGTTTCATTCTCTTCTTTGTACTTCCGCAGAGCTTCCAACATCCAGCGCAGGGAGTTGCTATAATCCTTCTCGTTGTACAGCGTGCGGCCCAGCTCGTAACAGTCGCCGGCGCTCATCGGAGTACTAATATCATAATATAAGTATACAACAATATATAAACAATTATAAATTAACTAGTTTTAAACATACAACAATGGTAGAACCCGCTTTAACATCTTCGCAAGAATGGTCGGCTCGCCCCAGCAATACCACGACCACACAGAAAACAGGCGTGAAGTGGAAGCAATTCAGTGTTTCGTTTGATGAATATGGTGCTAAAGGCCTAATTTTAGCTTTTTTACTTTCCTTTCTTAATGGAAAAGGACTTCCCAGCTTGTAATATAAAAAAAAAGTCACATTCCACTATTTCGCATTTTTAATAAAAACGTTATTTCGTGATAAAGACAAGTGTAGAGGAAAATAAATTGTACAATTTGGAACAATGATAGTTATGAGAGAAAGTAGTTTTCTACTAAAGATTGGTATAAATCCCTGTGAAATAGTATCACATATGTACTACTTTTTATATTTTTCTACAACCCGTCATTTGTATACATTCTTAAACATGTCATTTTCCACACAATACATTCATACATTCTAGTCTTCCGCTGGTGTCAATTCCTGCTGATAAAACAATACTAAACAAACATATTCTTACCTATACACGACCCCGTTAAGTCTCCCATCGGCGAGTTCTCCGATATCTAACTGGTAAGTGTCCTGCAGACGAGTGAGAGCTTGCGCCGCGCCCGACAAGTCCTCCAACGTCGGATACTTCACATCCGCGTGGTTCACCGTTATATTCTTTATGTATTCTGAAAACATTAAAAATAAATTCAAGACAGAAAATAATCGGTGCTTTTATATTTGTTTCGCGGAAACTTTTTTTTATACCACGTGTTCTAAAATACTCAATCTTTTTAGAAAAGGATATTACAGAGAGATATAGAAATGGTAGATCAGTATGATTTGGTCTAATTTGATATAGAAAGCTTGTGATGGGTTTTAAAAAAAAAACTTATTTAGAACCATATAAATTTTGTAACTTCGTATATAATTTATAAATTCTTTAAAACTGTCGTCATGTCACTCCCACGACATGAACAAACAAAAAAATTTAGCACACATTTATTTATTTTGGTCGTGACTCTTGCACCGTTGACATCGGCACTTCGAATGAGGAAATATTACATTGGTATTTTGACATGGGTACTGTACCAACATGTTTAGATTATAATTTAATGTTTTAAATGCATTGCAACTCTATTAAAATTGGTTTAATATTTTATAACATGAACTGCTTAAGAATTAAGTCCTCTGTAAGGATCAACAAACCTCTTTTTACATTATCTTGAACTAAATAGATACAAAACCAATACCAAAACATTTTTTGCTATCTTTCTTTTTAATTGTCTAGATTATATACGTTGTATAAAACAAAAACCTATACTCTACTAAGAGAAACACGTGATAATATTTTTTCAACGAAAAAATATGGCACTACATTAGCACTTCGGGTTTTAGCTAATAGAGCGTGTCATAACGCAATACCAGAGCAAACATTTAAACATATTTTTAACGCTCAATAAGTCACTTCAAACACTTTTATTTGCCAGACACTTATGAAGAATAAACGTATAAATATTAACAGCTGCTCGCAGCTTGATGACATAACTAAAGAATTTTTATACCTTAACCGATACAAAAAAAAACGTATTAAAAAAATTTTTAACCGTTTTTTTAATAAAACATACAATAAAAACATTCGACATGTGCTAAAAACTAACGGGTTCACTTTGTACAGGTTCTTGGGATAGGGTCTTTGTCGTTACTGATTTATAAAACAAGAAATATATCAAGGACAAAGTAAGAAAATTCCTATATATACAGATTTGATATTATAAAATTCTATTATTATCTATATTCGGCAGTTATTAGCATAGTCTTTAATTGCATTTTTTCGCTTTAAAACTACAAATAGTTTAGTATGGAATAGTTTACCGTTGCATGGCCCTGTTCTTGTTTGTAAAACAGGTAGTGATTTCTATTGATTGATTGAAATGCTATGAAAACATCCATTATTCTTATCCAACAACGTTTGGCGAGCTCATATTGTACTACACATTCCGAACACGTGAATGCAAATGTTTATCAATGTAATTCGTCATCTAGAAAGAATAAAATTCACCGACGTTCGTGACCGTGGTTTATCCCGAGCGAGAATTGCTTACAAAGCATTTCTAACTGTTAAGGGAATAAAAAAACATCGTTTCACCAAATTGTCAATTTTAAGACTACATGTACACAAAAGATATTTTCCTTACATTTAAAGGTTACCTAAGGTGACCTAAGTGGGGGCGGAAATAAGTTCGTTTTGTTCATTTTACGACCTAAAACTATAGCGTATACCTTTTATTATATTAGTTTAAACACAGTTTTGCCAAATGTGCCATTACAATCTTCTTAAAACCGTGCACACCTGAAACTAAACTATCGCACAACTGTTTAGTCTCCCTTTGATTCTTATGAGCTTATATGGATGTTCGCACACTACTCCATTTTTAGTTGTGCAACTAAACAGTTAAATTGGCTGCGAAACAATATACAATCGTGACAATTGTGCGATAGTTTATTCAAAGGTGTGCGCCCGCTCTTAAAACACAATATTTTTTAAACTTACCGGTACCAATCTTGATGCTCTTTTCAATGAAATCCAAGTCAGTAGTCAATCGTTTGATGAGGGTGAATGCATTTATGGGATTCCCCAAGTAGTTAGGAATATCTTCCATCGCCATCCCGTGTTCCTTCTTGTACAGATTCAAATGTCTGCAAAAGAAAATTAGTTACAATATTGTGAAACAACTACAACTTAGAAAAATCAAGGCATCTAACTGTCACACTCAAGATTACCTTAATCGTTAGTATAAATGCCAATAATGTGTAGAGAATTTAGTAAGTTTTTATGAATTTTAGAAAGCTTGGTACAGCTTCACCAACAAACTGTTGTGCTGTTTGGCGACATTATTTTTAAAACATTATATTTTTTGTTAAATAAATAAATTAAAAAGTCAATATCGTACTTCTTCAAAATGTACAATCTTTTCTCTTCTTTTTGAATATAATCATCAAGGTCATCGATTATCCTCTTGTGGGTTTCCAGTAACGGTTCCACCTCCGATATAGCGGTGAACAGCTCGGCTCGAGACAATGACCACGTGTCTAGGATGGCAAGGCAAATGGCGTAAAGGAAATACTTGCACCGCATCTTGTGACCTGTAACAAAGAAAATAAATCAATTTCCACACCATGGCCTTATGGCTTATAACTCTTATAGCTCTTGCCATTGTTAAATCGTTAGGATTATAAATTACTTGCTGTTTCTCGCGACTTCGTACGCATGAAATTAAAAATGTAGCCTATGTTAGTCACTAATAACGTAGCTTTTTAATGGTGAAAGATTTTTTTGAAATCGGCCAAGCAGTTTTTGAGTTATACTAATACGTACAAAAATACAAATCTTTCATCTTTATAATATTAGTATAGATAGTATAGATGATCCATAATAGATTTTCTATGTAAACTGACAGAATAATGAATATGTGATAAATAGGGAGTAGCCACAAGCAACAACGTAAACCGCGGTATACTGCCGTCTAACGCATTGATAACATATTACCCTACCCACTAAATTATTTAGCAAACAATTTCTAATAAACATATGTTAGACACCGTCATTATAATGACACTATCTTTTTAATAACAAATCTCGCAGAATATACAATCCATTAATTCTTATAAATGTTCTGCAATTCTCATTATAAGATGTCCTTTAACTTTTGCTAAGGTCAGCAACCTCTACTTTTTCTTTTTTACGACTAATGACTATAATTTTATTTACTAATGACTAACACCTAAAAGCTAACCGGTTAAATGTCACATGAGTCAAAGCGTCAAGCATACTCCTAATGAGTATACGGAGGGTTTCCACTCCCGAAACAAATGTATAAAAAACAATATTGTTATTAGAATCAAACTCTTTGAAAAACAGAGATAATATATAAATCTCTGCTGTTTATCCTCGAAAAATGCTCAAATAGCCGATCAAAAAGTTAGTTCCTTTGACTATCCTGCTTAGATAACCAAATAAATATATCAGCAATTCTATAGTAAAGTAAATAAAAACGTAACTAGAAATCCTTTAAGATATTATGTGTAATGAAAAACTAACAAGACAAACTCATGTTGCTTGCGGTAATAGCTGTGTGGTAATAGTCCACAGGAGAGATCTGCTCCATATCAGTAAATAGGGTGTTTTCCATTGAGCCGATTATCGGTAAGCTGTTAAACGCCTACAGCATAAAAACAACAATCTGTGGTATATATGAGGGTATCTCCATATAATGTACCGTACATTCACTAATAATAAATCAGTCCAGTACCAACCGCCGTTTCAATAACACCCCTACATTACATTGGCGACGAGGATTTTTTTTTAATAGCGAACCCGAATAAATTTTCGCGAGGTGAACGGATTAACATCGTTTTGTGCGCTGTGGTTGTGCAAGCCGTGTGCGTTACGACGTTCGTAACACCAAGGGTGTGGCAGAATAACGAAGAAAGATGTGGTCATGGGCGACCGCAAAAAGGGCGGTAGGACAGGCGGCGGTTGTGTCGATGGCGGCTGGGCGCAAGGCGGAGGCAGCCGGG